TTACTTTTTTCATTTTATATTTGGGTATTCACAATGATAAACATCTAGTACTCTTTCTCCATTTGAATGGACTTTCAGATGCTGAAGGCAGACTAAGCTACTTCTCCTCCATGTGTCAGACACCATGTGACAGTCTGTTGCATGTCACTAGGATAAATCCACCTCTTTTCACCTAAACCGGTTCTTGGATGTAGCAAAGCCCATTTCATACAATAAATCAAGTCTGTTTGATATATTTTAAGCATCACTTGTTTAAAAATACTAATCCAATTTAAGTTTTACTTTTATAGAATAATTTTTATCTTGGAAATGAGTCTGGTGGTGTAAATAGTCTTATGAGTTACTTAAAACTTTCCCTGGCTGAAATATTTGAGAGCATAAGATGACATTTCTTCTTAAAATAAATATTCCTTTTGCATAATGAGATTATGCTGATGGTTGTCATTGATAGCTAGTCCTTTGTTCTTAATTTTGTGTTTCTAGTATGGTGCAATAAGATTAAGTATGCCTTGTTCAACATTTTACACAGGGCAATTTTAGTTTGCATGTATTACATATTTCTTAAGGTGTTTTCTGCCAAATGCCAGTTAAATGAGGATCCAGCTGGACATGGCTTATAATTTAGCTTTTTGGAATGAAAATCAGAGTTCCATTTATTCTCCCAAAACCCAGTAGCAACTTGCAAACAGTTTTTATGCAGTATCTTCCTTCCACCTTCTCCAAGTTCAGCATCTTTCCTCACCTGCTGCTTTACTTTTTTCCTTTTCTTAAGATTGCAAAGTTAAGTGCATGAAAAGCTTCCTTCCTGCAGCCAGTTCAATTAGCCCTTCTGGTCTGGTTTGGTTTTGTTTTATCTGTTGGTGCCAGTTGTGGTACCAGCCACAGCAGTGGTTTTGGGGGCAATTAGATGAACCAGTAGCTACAAATGCATGGCTGTAGCATGTGCAGTCTGCATTGCCTCCATTGTAGAGGTGTGTGGGAAGTGCTAAAGCCTCTAACCTCTGGCACCTCATTAAAATGTTTTCCCTTGTTCCTTCTTTTTGTTTACATGTTCTGTTGTTATTTGCAGTTACATATTATGTGTTTTTTACGTTTTTTTTCTGTCACCTGAAGGTAGAGGTTAGCTGTCTTTTGTAGAGCTGAGCAACTAATAATGTTTCTTTGTCTTGTTGGTCCATTAAGTGTGCTAAAGTCATTAGGACTGCAGCCATTTGGTGAACTCTGTGTTAGGAGTTGGTGTAGATGCCAAGACAATGATAGAAAATATTTACTTTTATGTTTTCAGTAAAAATATTTGTGCTTTAAGAGAGGGATTGAAGGAGTGATATTGTGAACAGAAAGAAACTATCTTTCTTGTATAAAAGCCACTGCCATTGACTGATTCCCCTGATAGGATAGGCAGTGTAGGCAGTTTGCTTTAGCATAGCAGATTATTTTCCTAATAATCCAGATTACAGTGGTTTAAAATGCAGTAACCCCCCTTTTGTCACTTGCTTAATACGTTTCATATCTCAGTTGTTCCTAGGGCTAGTGGAAAAATCAGACCAGGAAACTTCAATGGCTATGCAATCAGTGTTTCTATACTAGTGCTTTTTTTTTTTTTTGGTGTGTGTTTAGGTTGGCGTTCAAGTTGGTGTTCAGTTGGAGAAGGGTTTTTTTGTTTTGTTTTGTAATGTCTTATATGTGAGATGTGTGTAGCTTGTTTCGTTTGCTTATTCTCCCCTTTTCATTTCAGCTGAGAGAGAGTTAGAGTGGCATTTTGTTCTGGTTGCAAATCATAAACGTGGAACAGGATCTCTCATTATTCTGTCTTACCCTCTTAGGGCAAGACTGATAATGTTCAGCTTTCGCAACAGTGCGTAGGGTGAAAGCGTTCATTATTCATTTGGCTGAACGCTGCACGCAAAAAGCTCCTTGGGAACGTCCTCTCTGGGCAAACATTGATGTGACCAGACCTGTTACTGTGGGTCTGAGTTTATTCAGCAGTGGAAAATACATTGCTTAGGGTTTATTGTTGTTTGGTAGCTGAGGACTTGATTTGTCCCTGCCTTGCATGCTGGGTAGTCGTATAAACTAGTGTAAAGTAAGTGCTGCCATTCTGATTTAAAAGGCAGGTGGAGAATCGGGAGTGGGTATTAACATTACAGTACTGTCTGTATTATAATAGTCCGTAAGCAATCACAGGCAGTCACAGTCCCTGCGCTGACTAACTTACATATTACCACAGACACCTATCATTACCCTGCTTCGCCAGCCTCAGTCATGGTAGCTAGAACTGTTGGTCTGGCACATTCAAAGTTATGAAACTTTTCAAAGAAAGTTGTGAGATTGGGTTTGAAAGTTAAATTTTAGAAAATGAATCTTGGGGTAATTTTATCTATTTAATTATTTGTTTACTTCGAGCTTTACACTTTAAAGTTTATTTTAAATCCTATGTTTTGTAAAAGGATGGATGTGACCGCATCTGCATTTCGCGCATGTGGTGTGAGATGCACAAACCCTTGAGGCTACAGGTTTGGAAACTAAACATTATCACAGAGTAGGCTACGCTAGTGTAGACATATGGAAGTCCATTCATTTTTTACAGGCTCTTAGTAACACACAGTGCAAAGCATGAGCTCTTAGTGCATGTTTTCCTTTTGATGACGCTATCTTCTGCTCTCATTAATAGATTTAAATACAAACACTACTTCCAGATAACGTCAGTGAAATGGCTTTTGTTGATAAGAAACAGGCATGACAAGCTTTAGCTTGTCAGGCTCCTGAGGTTTTGGCCATTTGAGTTTTTAAAAATGTAATAGTCTATTTCAATTGAATGTACAAATCAGCATCAACATGGCTGTAAAAGGGAAGCAAAGTGTGTGTATTAACCTTATTGGAAAAGTTCGGTGCAGTGCATGCTGACAGTAACTTATCTGACAAAAGGTAAACAACCAGAAAAACCTGCTACAAGTGAGATATTCAAGATTTCTGGCTATCTAAGGTATTTTTGAGAGGCCTGTTACCTTGGCATGCAAGAAACAGTGGTATAGATAAGTTATTGCAATGGGGTTAGTGCTTGGACAGTTTTTCTGGGGTCTGTTCTTTTATATTAGGGGTACTTTATCATACAGAGGTGTATGTTGGTAGAACAGTACTGTATTTAGTAAAAGATACATGAGGTGGAACATACTTAAAGAGAATTATTACAGTTTCTGTAAGTGTGGACAGAAAGCTCCTGATTAAGCTAGTTATTTGTACAAAAGAATTGTACAAAAGCAAGAGCTTTTTTTTAGAAAAGCAAAGCGAAGGTCCTCATTGTGGGCAGTGGTGGAGTCAAACATGGCTAATATGAGGTCTTGTCTCAGTAGAAACCTATTTTGTATTTCTGTGTGGATTCTGCCTCTGTGTGACAGTCACTGGTATGTTGTCTTTTCTTTGGTTTTCCCTCAACTAAGTACTTGGTAAAATAGTAGAGTGGTAACCAGGGAACTCAACAGTGAGAAGGAGCTGCTGCTTTTGTAAGGGTTTACTAGTACTGGCTGCTCCAAAAGCTGAGGTGCCCCATGTAGGCTCTGCAGCACCAGTTTTTGTGCAGGGCACTCAGGGAGTTGCAAAGGCATCACAGACATTCTGCACTTGGGTGGACTGGCTCTGCATCACATAAACCCCCATCACCTGCCACCCAGAGATGACTGGGTGTCAGCAGAATGGTAAAGGCTACTGCCAAACTTAGCAAAGGATCAATTCTGGAGGTGGCTATTACTTTTACAGGACTTGACCCTTGGGAATTTTTCTGGCAGTTGTTTCATAGCTATGACATGTTTTAGAGCATGAGTTTGTATTGCTCCATCAAGTTATGAGCTTGGGCTCAAGAAATGAGCTGAGGGGCATAATTGGAAGCTACCTCCCTTACACAGTAATATGTGAAGTACTGAAATTATTTCCTTTGTTTGAAAAAGTCATTCTTTGCTGATTTCAATACTTCTGTGGGCCAAATTACTATAGTGGGTTATTTTATCTTAAGTATTTGATGGCCTAGCAAGGGCAAGTTAAATGTATCTGCATGCAAAAAAATACGGTCAGAAACCCTGAGATATCCTTGTAGTTTAACACTTTGACCTGCTTCATTTTCATTTCACTACCAGTACCTTCCTTAAAGGTGGGAAATTTCTGTTTCCTTTTCTTATGTGATGTCATCTTTATTTATTTGTGATTTTTGACTGTAGGCATCCTTCTCTTTTTAGAGATCAGAGGAACAATTTTTGTAGCAGTCTTCTATGGCCTTAATGAAGATTGCGGATTCTTTTTCTGATCATTTTCTCATCCACATTAATTCAAGAAAGTTTTTTGTTCAGTAATTCTGTCTTTTTACCAAGCAGGTCGTAGTGGCAATGTAGCTGTTGCTTCATTCTTGAAAACAGAAAATAACTGTATGGGCAGATGTGCAGTGCTTCAGAAAGTCTGGAGAGTTGGTTGTCTCTTATTGTATAAAATAGAGGATTCATTCAGAATGCCAAAATTTTACTTTCCTTCCTGTCTGTGAATCTGTGCCCATTCTGCATTTCCTTCTTCAGAATATTCCAAATTTTTCCTAGTGCTTATGCTTGCATAAACAACAAAAAGTGCTTTGAAGGAGCAAATATTGTACAAGACAGGACCCAGGCTGCTGCCCTCCCCTGCCAGGCATTAGTCTGAAAAACTAAGGAGAAAAGTAAACTCCATCATTAAAACTGAAAGTCAAACATGTAAAGGGCTTGGCTGAGTTGCTTAAGCAAAGGCGACTAATGTCACTTGAGACCCTCTGCAGCATATGAGGCATCTGCAGAAGACTGGCAGATTTAACCTGTAGGAGAGGCAATTGATGGCCAGACAAGATGCCTTAGGATATCTCAAGTATTTTTGTTGAGGTAGAGGAGAGTCCAGAGACTTTGTGTGCCACAGGGGTGGCATGGAAAGTTGAGGGAGATTGTGGAGAAATTCTCTGAGATTGTGGAGAAAGCTTATAATGCAAAATCTCGCCACAACTTGATTTAAGACATTACATTTTAGTTTTAGCCAAACAAAAATGCTTTGCGTTTGTACTGCTATATTAACCAGACCATGATGCTGTTGCTTGTGCCCAGAGGCCATAGTATTTTCTTGTTAGCAGTCTTATAGGTTTCAGTCAATCTGTTTCATTATCTTCAATGAACACGCTCAGAGTCCTGTCCAGAGCTGATGTACATGATCAGTGATGTTGCTTGTTGTTTTACTTAACATCTGTTTCTGGAGGTGATAACAGTTTTGTAAGAAATGACTGAAATTGCTGGTTAGATAGAAAGAGAATGTGTGAGCTGAAGAAAAATTACAGATTAATAGTAATAGCACAGCATGGAAACTAAAATTATAGCACCAGTAGGAACAAACCTGTCGATGTTTTAGATATTACTATGTACCAAGCTGAACAGAACACTTCTTTTTTTGTTCATGATACTGAGCTGTATATATCTGTAGAGCATAATTTTATCACGCCACTTTCACATTAACCCAGTATGAAATATCCAGACTCCCTTGGCCCTCAGTGCTTCTAAATCATGAATATACAAATCTGTTTCTTTAAAGCCTGTTATATGGGGGCTCAAGAAGAGTGGGAAGTGCATGTTCCTCCTGCTTCTTCAGGTTCCTTTTCATGGCTCAGGTGGGGACTTAAGTGCCAACAGTGTGAAAAGTGCAGGATCAAAATGGAAAGAGTATTGGGCACAAAATTGGAAACTAGGCAGATAACTTTCAAATATTGGCCAAAAGTTTCTGACTCATGGAAACTGATCCTCAGCTGTCTCTGTCAGAGTATTACTCTTTATTGTCTCTCTCTATTTACATTATTAGTTGAATAGGTGTGCAAGCATATATGCTACAGGACTGTTCTGTTTATGGTTTTTTTTCAGGATCTAAGAACATGAGCCAGATTACAACAAATGGGGAAAATGAAGGAACTACCAAAATTATTGCACCTTCCCCTGTGAAAAGGTACGTAGACCAGCAGTTCCCTTCCAGCTTTTAAGAGATTGTGTATTGCATTGGATAGAGGAACACATTTAGTAATCATTAGTAACAGTTCATCCTTCCCTTAAGTATAGGACTGTCTGATCTTCTGTTGACAAAGATCAGAGAGTGTTGCCCAATAATTCATTTTAACAAACCCTGATCTTCTGAGGAGCCTGGAACAGGGGTTCCAGGTGACACAGAGTTTGGAAACCCACGATCGGGACAAGTTAATGGGAAGGCAAACAGTCTCAGTTTTAAATACGAAAAAAACAGATAATGACCCAAGGGGCATTGGTCAGGATAGTCCTGTGAAGTCCTATGTGTCTCTCCCCTGGGAGCTGTGGGCTGGCTGGCAGGGCCCTCAGGTCGTGTGTCTTCTGCCTCTGCACAGGGCAAGCTCTGCTTGGGATATGTGGGCAGGGAAGAGCTGGGCATGGCCTCTCTTCCAGCAGTGCTGTTAAAGTTGCAGTCCATTACCTGTTACACCGGTAAATCCAGAACAAAACTCATGAGTGTTTGTGCCTGATCCTTAGGAGCAGTGAATTGTCAGGGCTCCTCTGGATTTGCGTGGTCTGTTGTGTTTAATTATCAGTGCTAAAGTGCGCATCTCTGGTTATCAGGCATATTTGAGAGAAAGAGGTGAGGCTCAAAGGGATTTACATCCCCACCCTTAATTTTAGGTGGAATTTGGGTGCCTGAATCAAAAAAGAGTGATCTGACAAAACAATGAGTCAAAAACTCGGCACCTAACTCTTTTGCTTAGTTGCCTGAATGTCTGCCTCTGCATGCCCAACTACCCTGACAGCTTTTTTTGAGCTGAGCACCTCTGGCCTTTTGAGTTCCATTGAAGCTGTGGACTTCACATACTAGGTATCTGAACTGACCTCTGAAAAAGGGTCTAAAAGATTTACTGCAAATACATGGTGGATAGTGTTTCCTATTGCCTAATATTTAGAACAGTTGCCCCAAAAAAGAAGAGCTGAGTTTAATTGCTTCCTCAGTTTGAGGGAAATTTAATCAAATATTCTAGCCCTTAGAAAATAATACTAATCATCGGTTAAAAGAAAGTTTATGATTTTGCCACTTGGTCATGCTGAAGCAAGGCCACTGAGCAGAAAACTATACGAAGGTATATAAACACCTGAAGGGAAGGTGCAAAGAGGATGGAGCCAGGCTCTTTTCAGTGGGGCCCAGTGACAGGACCAGAGGTGATGGGCACAGACTGAAACACGGGAGGTTCCCTCTGAACATCAGGAAACACTTTTTCACTGTGAGGGTGACTGAGCACTGGCACAGGTTGCCCAGAGAGGTGGTGGAGTCTCCATCCTTGGAGATATATTCAAAAGTCATGTGGACATGGTTCTGGGCATCCGTCTCTAGGTGGCCCTGCTGGAACAGGGGGTTTGACCAGATGACCTCCAGAGGACCCTGCCAACCTCAACCATTCTGTCATTCTGTGATTTGTTAGGAGAGAGAAAGGTACAAAGCAAGAGGTGCCCTTATTCCATAGTGCAGAGATGATTGTATTGGGAAGGGATAGGAGCGCTTCACTACAGCTTGTGCTCCAAATGCTGTGTATAAATTTTTAGCAATGAACTGTTAAAAAGAAATGAATAGGCAGGTTGTAGAGCAAGAACCAAAATAAGGGGCTCTCAACACAGCAGCTTCAACGTTTTTGAGTTTAGTTTCTTACCTTGACAGTTTAAAAGCAATTCACAGGCAGACTCTCACTGAGTCACAGTTTTAAATAACGTTAGTCACTTCCAGCAAAAAAGTGTTGGAAGTTGTTTTTCTTGCATGTTTTCTATTCAGAAATTTATTTGTTTTTCTCTGTGTCTCTGCACATGTAAAACGCCTTTCAGGTCTGCCAGGCTTAGTATGCGTGAAAGGCAGCACACATACTTTATGAAGCATTTACGGTTTGCTAGTTTACTCCATCCTATATAATCCTCACATTAATTGTCAGTCAGGCTTGCAAAGCATCTTTCAGAAGCTCTTACAAGCTGATTTTTTGTAGTTTAACATCTCATTCACTGCTGAGATACGTAGATGGTCACTTCTGCATACGTGGTATAAATTCAAGGTAAACCATAAAAACCCCCAACAACAGTAATCTCACATGAAATTCAGATCCTAACCTTTTGAAATACTTCAAATGAACTTAGTCCTTTTTGCAACTGCATTCCTGGAGACAATACCAGTATCTGAAGAGCTGCCATGCTGTAGCTCTCTAGCTGTAAAGTGTGTGTCTGCTCTGAATGAATAATGACTTAGGAATCTAATGCAGTGATTTCACACCCCAAGATCGTTTCTCTCTCTCTCTCCCTTTTTTAAGATCTGAGAACATTATTCACATTTCTTTTAAGCCCAGCTTCAATCTAAGTATTGTTCAGTAGTTCATGCTGTGCAAAAACAATTGCTTTTTTCACTAGAGGACTGAAACATTTATGTGAGTTACTTGCTTAGTCTGTAGTAAGCACATATTTTTAAGCCTGGGAATAGATTGTATGCACGTATGAGTCAGTAATTAATAGGTGCAGTATTAAGAAAATGATTTACCTGATAAAGTGTAATC